TAAGAGAATACATAGCTCTTGGCAAGTAAGTTCAAGGTATCAAATCTTGGACTACTTCTGCAAGGGATAAAAATCCCAGTGAGATATTTGGAAGCCATGAGTTGTTCATTTATCTTGGAAGTCTGTTATGTGTGGTTAGGATGGGAATAATAGGGAATAAACTCAGGTCTAAAGCCTTGGATAAAAGGAAATACTGTTTATTGTATTTTGGTATGATGATACTTGACAATGATGAACCCATGTTGTAGAAAAATACATCCTTTGGAATTTTAAGTAGAAGCACTACCTACAGGAAATTGAGAGATCTAGAACTATGATTTTGATATTTCCCAAAAATATTATGAGTACTAAATACTGTTTATGTATCTTGATCTAATTATTAGACATTACATATTTGTTTGATAAATATGTAAATTTTCTACAAGGTCACATCTGTGTGAAAGTCCAAAAGTCCAAAAGTACTTTAAGGCATAAGTTTTTCTCTTCTTTGGCTCAAGGTTGTACCCTGCTTCCTCTCTAGAGTCCAAGATAGGGATGTTTCTGTTACTAGTTCTGTTGATTTAATTTTTTAATATAAACTTTGATTAGGGAACTTTGACTCTTAAGGTGTTTTTAAGATGTGAAACAGGGTTGTGAGTAATACTATCATTTGTCACATTCTATAAAGCCTGTGTTCAGGAACCAACAATTCCAATTATAACTGAGGGCTTAACTATATGAGATACCCGTAATGTGACTCATATTCTATGTTTACTAGATGGGGCTAAAATAGTTTCCTTTCTGTACTTTACAGTTCTGTTTAAGAGGCTAGAAGACTTATGTCAAGCTCTAACCACAGAATCTCTGTTTTGGGACAATTTCTCATATTAAAATTGTTTGAGAGAAAAAAAAAAAAGAAATCAGACTTACCCCAGTCATCGTCAACCTCTGGGTCCCAGTGGGAGTCTGCTTTCTCCTCTTACTCTTCTATCCACCTCTGACCCTACCCTTTGTGTTACTGGGCATGCATGTGGATTTTCTCTTTACTTTAAACAAGCTTAAACAAATTCAGCCTCCATTTATGGAGCTAAACTTATAGTTAACAAAGCTCTGTGTTAGACTCCAAGAGAGATGATTAGACATATGAGAGTCAGTTGTTCCTTGCTTCAAGATGCTCCTACTTTAGTGTAGTCCATAGGTAGCATGTGGCAGGGTGAATGAGAGATGAGGTGAGAATGACCAATGGTGGTGAACACAGAAGAGCGTTTCTTTCCAGTTGGGAGGGTGATAGATACAGAGATGGGAGAATTTAAAATTGAGCATGCCTCTTTATCTATTCCAGTGAGGCTAGCCACATCATTTCTAGAAAAGGTTGCCAGTAACTGTCTTTCCAATACTGAGCCCTCTTCCCAAAGAGGATCATCTTAGCAAATATAGGAGCCTGTCTTCCATCCTTGCATAAAATGAAGATAGTTGGTCTCCAGGGACTGGAGATCTCACTAGCTAAGCCTTTGATTTCCAACCCCCCATCCCCATTGCTTTCTTTTTTTTTTTTTCTCTTAATGAAAATAGTGACAAATTAAGATGGCAAAAGGAAGAAAACTCCATGTAAAGGAAGTTCTTTATATGTAAATAACATAACTTTGTCATGTTCAGACTTAAATGTTTTAACATTATTTCATGCATCTTTTATATGATTAAAAATTGTATGCCGGAGATAATTTCTGTGAGTTTCCCAAGCCAAATCTGAGCCCTTCTGGCCTCTAGAATTAAGCCTAATCAAAAATAAAGTGAAGCAAAAAGTTAAAATTAGAGGTATTTTCATGACGGGTCCTTCAACATGTAATGTTATAAACAAAATGAATATAGACTTGTTTCACTTTCCTTAAGTAAATATTATGTTTGAGTGATATTTTCAGTTGTAAGTATTTCTTTAAAAATAATAGCACATACAAATAAAACTTTAGGTCATATGAAAAATGAAGGTTCAGCAAGTACTGATATGTGTGCTCTTTGGATCGTGGTTTTAATCTGAATCTCTCAAGGAAGCTGCCCCTGCATTTCTCAAGGCTGGCCCAAAGAATGAAGCATCAGTCACTATGATAAGCATTGCTTAGGCCTTGGAATGGCTTGTTTTTTGCACTTTCTTACAAACATTGAGTTTCACACAAATAAAGAGACTATGAAAAGGAAAACTCAAGATTAACAAAGCTAAAACTTAAGCTTCTTCTTCTTCCTCCTACATTAAATTTTATAGTAGATGAGGACAATTTCCTCCCTGTTTAAAAATTGTCTTTTTAAATATGTGTGTGTGTGTGTGCATGTATATACACACACATATGATATTATTCACAAGAACTTAGACGCTGTGTGGGCAGAAGAAATGATCAGTTTTGAGCAAAAGATTATTATAAGTAACAGCACCATACTCGCCCCAAAAGAATGAAGCATTCTTCTAGCAGTGTTTGAACTTCGAACAGTGTTTTTATAGGCCACCTCATTGTCTTTCTTCTCTCTGCAAAATTAAAAATGATAACTGTTATGGTGAGTTCTACAGAAAAAGACAATTTCCATGATTTCATTTCTTGACAAAGAACAGCTACCTCACTCAGTTTCTGCCCCAATAGAAGTACACTCCGGCCATAAAATCTCCCCTCAGAGGCAGCAATATGGGACCACAGCCCTATCTTGAGGTCTGCCCTATCTGCCCATGGGAAGCCTCCCTTCTCCTGGCTGTGAGATTTGGCCGTGTCAGAGGGGCGAGGTGTGGGAGAAGAGAGCAAATGTTCCCCCACGTGCATGTAGCCTGCACTGTCGCAGACTTTCACAGGGTGGCTTCTGCCCCGTCATCACTTGATCTGGATTGTCTCTCCCAAAATTAATGAAACACGGTGCTCCTGTCTTTTATAATGTTCTGTTTTAAAAGAGAGAAATAGCTGGGGGAAAGATCAGGATCCTAAAAGTCCAAGGCCTGGAATGCTTCCTTTCTCTCTTTCCATTTTAAACAGGAAACATTCATGTTAAGAGAGTCCGGAGGGAACACTGGTCATATGTTCATTTTAAGGCAGATAATGTTTGTGTGTTGCAAATGTCAGTGATTTATCCTAAGGGCTTAAAATGAATGCAGAAAAACCACATGTTTCACTTCATGCAGAGAAATATCTTCAGTGGATTTTAAGAGAAAGCACAGGTTAAGAATTGTTTGGTTTTTTTTTTTTTAATGTTTCAGAAATCTCCAACATTAACCAAAAGGAAATAGAAATAAGTGTGGTGGGGTTGGGCAGAGGGAGGGAGGTTAAAAATATTTATGATAAAAGATGTAATGAAAGCTGGACATTTTCTCAACCAAAAAATGAAAGTCTGAAAAAAAGGAAAGGTGAAATCCAGATTCTTTATTTCCCAGCGCTGGAGTGACAGATTATGCATTTGTGTTCTATTTGTCATGGGCAATTTAAAATAGAGCAAAGCAAGCCGCCCTGAATAATAGCAGCTGATGCTATAATAACTTGTACGCAAACAATTTAATTTTTTTATCTGAAAACTCTCACTAAGTAAATTACCCCAAGCTCAAGGATCTATCTTTCATTATTACACATTGCCAAATTAAGACACCAAAAAAGTGGGGAAAGAATTCTATCGTTCATCCTTTATGGATGTGTTCACAGGCTGCTTTCCACATGCACCTAAGTGTGGAGCTTGTCAAATCTTCATTGATTGGGGGAACTTACAGAGCTGTTTTAACCTCCAACTGCACAGATTACAGGGTGATTTTGACCCTCATTGACAGTGCTTGATTAGCCACAGACACTGTATTCTTAGCAGTTCTGTCATTTCTTTCTAGTGTCCTAGCGGTTTATATTCTAACTTTGGGGAGTTTTTCCTTAATTATTATGGTTCCCATTTTCGTTCTTAAAAAATCATAAAAGGGGTACTGGTAAAAAGCGGGAAGATCTGAGGAAAGCTGTGGTAGTAATTATATGCACAGAAGGTTTATAGGATTTTAAGAGCTGCAAACAGAACTCATCTGTTTAACCCCAGGCTAGATACGACGCAGTCGTCTGTGCATTGTTTAGAGACGTATTGCTTCTGTTATGGCAAATAGATGAGAAGATGCTTGTTGTCTTTGGGCAAGAGATCCAGACAGGGCCACTTTCTGTGTTTATTCTCGCCCTGGCCCTTTCTGTGTGCCTACCTATTACACCTTACAGCAGGGTTAGTCGTTGTGTGCACCTTATAGCTGGGTTAGTCTTTGCTTTGCTACTGGCCTGGTGCACTTCTTGACTTTACAGTAGACTAAGCACTTTATATATCATTTCTAGGTGGGCACTTCTCTGCTCTGGTTTGGTATTTTTTCTAGGGACTATGGAGAGGGGAGGGCATACAGATCCACATAAGGATATGACAACAGCTAAGAAGGGTTGAACACAGACTGCAGTCCACTGAAAGAGCACCTCACAGACCTAGAGGAGAAATAATACCATCCTTGGTGGGGGCGGGGGAGAGTAGGTATGTGACATCAGATAACCTGTACATTTCCATCACCATATCTAGGACAGTCTGCAGCAAGGCCAAGAAGGGGAGAGAGCCTAATGAGTCCAGCTCTAAGAGAGCCAAACTCATTGCCTTATTTAGAAAACTAGCCTGGCTACTGTAGTAAAGGCCATCATAGAAGGGTATAAACAAGATAGAAGTGCATTGCTTACTTAGGGGCTGATCTGAGAGTAAGCAGTCCTGCTGACACAGTGGTTTCATGGTATCAAGGACCCAGACTTTTGCTTTCTCATTGCTCTGCCCTTCTCAACACATAGTTTTAACCTTGTGGCTGCTCCAATGGCCAAGACACAGGAGAGAAAGGAGGAATGTTTCCTCTCTTCTTTTTAAGACCACACATCATCTCTACTCACTTACCATTGACCAGACCTAATGAATGGCCATGACAAACTGCAGAGGAGCCTGAGAAATGTCTTCAGCTGAGCAGACAGCTTAGTATCTACTAACATGTGTCCCTCTTCTCTTTCCAGGGGAGGTCCAGCAGATCCTATAGATTATCTGACTGCAGCACCTCAAGGGCTCTACAAAAAAAGGGAGCTTCCATATTACCCAGGACCTCATCCTGTACATCCACCCAAAGGGAGCTATCCCCGCCCCCCAGATCTGAGGGTGGCAGACTTCCGGTATCCACAATACTACCCACCTCCTCCAGCCCCCCAGCACAAAGGACCCTTTCGACAAGATGTCCCACCTTCCCCTCCTCAGCACCAAAGAGTGCCAGCCTATCAGGAAATGGGCAGACCAGGGCCCCGTGGGGGCAGTCCAGACCAGTACCCTTACAGGACCCAGGATCCCCGGCAGAAGAACCCCATGACTGCAGCTGTATAGCTGAACACCACTGAGATCTGCCTCGCCCGGAAAGGAAGACATGTAGCACCAACTTGCCCTTCCTTGCTCTTAAGGTCTTCTTAAGATCTGCTGTTAAGAAATCTCCATGGTACAAAATCACTTTTTCTCACTGAAGTTGCAAAGCTTTGCTAATCAGAAAAAAAAAAAAAAGAAGAAGAAGAAGGGACAGGAGTTTGACAGGAGTTTGTAAAGGAAAAAACTCAGAAGGAAGAAGAAAGATGGAGCCATAAAAACAATACCACCTGATATTTGAAAAGCTTTCAGAATTATTTAATTCAGC